ATTCCCCTTTTTCTAGAATTTGCCGTCCGTCTACTAAAATTTCCCCCCCTTCGATGCTATGAGCTGTTATTTCCACCTGTGAGATATCTGCAAGTATTGCAAGGTTTGCAGAGAGTGCGTAGTCTTCTATTATCCTGCTGTTCCACGGGGTCATTGATATTCCTACCGTGTTCTCTCTAATTCAGCACACTTCTACTTGATAAGTTAAAGCCCCATGAATGTCCATTAAAGCCCCGTGAAAATCCATTCAATAGTTCCTGAGATTAGTAAGTTCAAACAGACAAACAATCTACAGTTTAAATATAGTATAGATAGATATGGATACTTTACTTTAAACATGCCTTCACACCAAATTTCAAACTCATGTGACTTACGGTTCCAAAGTTATTGCTGATTAAAAATTTCACGCCTATGGGATGTGCCACGGCCCTTGTACACACTCATTCATATATGCCATAAGGGGCTACCATGGATATGTCTTCATACCAAATTTCAAATTCATGTGACGTATGATTCCGAAGTTATGGCCAATTAAAAATTTCACACCTATACGATGAGCCACGCCCTTTATACAAAAGTAGGAACATACAAAGGAATCAACACTGGCGCAACACTACAGGTTTACGTCAAGCAAAACAACTACTGGGAGGTTACAACCTCACGAGGTACAGGGCAGTTATTAATCTATCCAAAGGAAAACTAAGGATCATAACAGGTTTTCTGACGGGTCACTGCAGACTGAGAGGCCACCTGCACAAGCTAGGGATTTGGTCCAACGACCTATGTCGTTTCTGCGACGTGACCGAGGAGACTCCCGTGCACCTGCTTAGCGAATGCGTGGCGGTCGCGAGAAGACGGGAGAGGCACCTGGGCCACTACTGGCCAAGTAACGAAGTAGTACAGTCGCTAATCCCTGGGGATCTCCTCAAATTTTTGGGCTCTCTAGGATTAGATGAGGTACTGTAAATGGTTGAGGGCACAATAGACCTGCTGGTTGTTGTTGTTGTAGCAGCATACAAATTCCCCAAAGACTTTTTGGGGAGTGTTGCTGGAGTGACAGTCCTTGGCCAGATATAAATCTGGGTCGTTCCGGTTACGTAGACCCGACTGTCGTGGGAACGATAGACCTGCTGGTCGCAGTGCATGCCTCTATTAATTATCTATCTATCTATCTTATACAAAAGTATATCCTCTTTACAATAAGCATCTACCATAGATATGTATGTTAACACACCAAATTTCAAAGTCATGTGAATTACGCTTTCGAANAAAATGTTGTTGTTGTTGTTGTTGTAGCGGCACTACTAAGCCCCGCCTGTTTCGGGTCAACTTTTCAATCATTATCGTCGAGCTCAACTAACGGTAGGCCCAGGAAACGAGCTGTATCGATGGGGTCGGACCAAAGGGAGAGGGGTGTTAGTTGAGTCGGATTGAGCTGGCATGTGAAGAGGTGATTGGTGTCGTGGGGGGAGTCTCCACATGCCGGGCACTCATTTGGGATGTTTGGGTCGAGTCTGGACAGGTAGCTGTTAAGACGGCTACAATATCCAGACCGTAACTGAGCCAGAGTAACGCGGGTCTCTCTAGGTAATTGAAGCTCCGTCTCTTCCACAGGTGGTGATTGGGCTCCGATAACGACATTC